GTATTAAAGAATTAAAAGAAAAACATCTTGCTCATGACCAAAAAGAAATTTATGGTGCCACAACTGATACTAACACTGTTGACAAAAGCAAGTCTTGCAATGACCCTTGTAGTATGACTGAAAATGGGAAGGAACTTGCTTGTGAAGTTGGTCATCAAAACAATAATGCAGTCTTGGAGAATGCATCTAGCCCTAAGAGAGGTGATGCTGAAGAGGGTAATCTTCAAAGTTTGAATGAACCCAATGGAACTGACCCTGATGAGTCTGTAAAGGTAAATCTAGCTGAAGAAACTTGCAGTGATGCGAAAATATCAGAAGCAATGGAAAGTTGGGAGGTGCCTGAAGGTGGCGCACTTTGGGACATTTTTCGTAGGCAAGATGTCCCCCTGCTGCAGCAATATCTCAACAATCATTTCAGAGAATTTAGGCATATCCACGCTGGTCCAGTTCCACAGGTTACTATGATCATCAATTGGACTTGCTTTCTTTAATTATTTTAATATTAAGATAGCAAATCATAGTTCTTTATAATTACAAATATGCAATATTATGAAGTATCCTTTGTTCAATATTATGATCATCAACTGGAATTGTTTTGCATTGACTCATTAGAGCAAACTTATAATAATGTGCTTTTCTATAAATTTGATCCATTGTGGATTTGGACAAGAAGTTTCTTACCAAAACTACCTGCACTTCAATAAGTTTGTCTATATTTTACTTCGTTGAGACATCTCCACATGTTTATTAGGTGTTCTTGCTTTGGTAATCCAGGTGTTTCATCCAGTGCATGATCAGTCATTTTATTTGACTTTGGAACACAAAAGAAAGCTCAAGGAGGAATATGGTTAGACTGTCGTGTTATTAGGCTACACTTTTTTTTATCATCATCGTTCTTGACAATAATCTTCTTCTGCTTGCTTTTTGTATAGGAATTGAACCTTGGACGTTTGTCCAAAATCTGGGAGATGCTGTCTTTATTCCTGCTGGTTGTCCTCATCAAGTCAGAAACTTAAAGGTATCTATTGTGTTCTTTAAAAACTGATTGATGTGATTGTATGCTTTTAAAAAAAAATCTCTTCTTGATAGCAATTCTAATCAGTTAGTTTTTTAGCTCATCTTTCTTCTTTTTTTGTTTTTTTTTTTTTCGTTTGAGAGTTCAATAACATGTGGGGTGACATTTGGGCACACATATTTTAACTGGGTCAGATATTAGCTCTGATCCATATTGCATCTAGAAACACAACTTGGTCAGGATACACAGCCCGCATGAACGAACTTGGTTTTTAGATATAAAAAAAACTTGATTCTTTTTTTAGCTGATTCTTCACTGGTTGGACCTTTTGGTTCAGTTCATTATCTATTTATTCAGAATGGTATTTGTTCCAAGTTTAAATTCGAATGCTGTTTTTTCTTTTTTTCAGAGAATTTCATGTCCCTTTTATAGTCAGGAAAAGACTGACTAAATCCAAATCGATAAATAATCTATTAGATACTAAGTAATCTAAATAAATTCCTATAAGATAACTAAATCTAGTAATAATCTCTAGAACTAATTCTAAATTATAAACTTAGATACTAGGTAACTACTGAGGAAGTAGCAGCGATGGACTGTGATACTTGATTGTGATACTCGGTTGAAGGAAGTAGCAGGGATTGGTTGCTATAATGCACAGAAGGTCGGCAGCTATGTTGCAAATCTAAATTAGACGGCTGTTTTTCCCATGTTGCAAGTTTAAATTAGATTGCTGTTTTGGACCACTGTTGTTTTGGAAAGACTTATAAGTAACTAAATCTAATAATAATCCTTAATTACTAGGTAACTAAATCTAAATAATAATCTAATACTATGTAACCAAATCTAAATAATAATCCTGGATACTAAGTAATAAATCCAACAAGCTCACCACTAGTAGATATTGTCATGTTTGGGATTTCTCTTTTAGGTTTCCCATCAAAGTTTTTAAAACGCGTCTTCTAGGGAGAGGTTTTCACACCCTTATAAAGATTGTTTCGTCCTGTTTGGGCTTTCCCTTTCAGATTTCCCCTCAGTTTTTTAAATGCATCTTCCAAGGTGAGGTTTTCACACCCTTATAAAAAATGCTTCGTTCTCCCTCTTCCCCACAACCGATGTGAGATCTCAAAATCCACTTCTTTTGGGGCTCAACATCCTTGCTGGCATTCGTTTCCTTCTCCAATCAATATGGGGCCCCCCAATCTACATCTTACAATCCACCCCCTTTGGGGCTTAACATCCTCGCTAGCACTCGTTCCCTTCTCCATCAATGTGGAACTCCCCAATCTACCCCCTTTGGGCTCTGTTGTCCTTATTGGCACACCTCCTTGTATCCACCCCTTTTGGGACTCAGCATCCTCTGGTACATTGCCCAGTGTCTTACTTTGAGACCATTTGTAATAGCCCAAGCCCACCGCTAGTAGATGTTGTCCTCTTTGGGCTTTTCCTTTCGGGCTTCCCCTCAAAAGCTTTTAAAACGCATTTGCTAGGGAGATGTTCCACACCCTTGTAAAGAATGTTTTGTTCTCCTCTCTAACTAATGTGGGATCTCACAATAATACTCTTCGGCTACTTTCTTATTTTATAGAATTACACTACACAAATATCCTTCGACACTCTCCTCAAGTTGGGTAATAGATATTATTCATTCTCAACTTAAGCTTATCCTGGTTCAATTTTAAGAATATATATGCTAACTAAAAATGCTTTTTTTTTTTTTGTATTATCAAATCAAGCATATTTGCATGGTACAATATGTATTGTTATTAATATTGATGTATTTGTTAGACTATCATTCTAATTACGTTCCAATTCATGTTCCCCATAGTCATGCATAAAGGTTGCTATGGACTTTGTCTCACCTGAGAACGTGGGAGAGTGCATCCACTTGACTGAAGAATTTCGCAGACTTCCGTCAAATCATTGGGCTAAGGAGGACAAGTTGGAGGTAATCCATCATTATCTCTCATCAACCTCGTCTCATCGACTAATGTCTGACCATGTTTTTGTTTTGTCGGGAACATATTGTTTATGTGGCTGTCTGATAACCTTTTTACAACAAAAACATATCTGTCTGCTGATTGGAAGCAAGATTCTATCATGACCTATGCTTGAAACAGGTAAAGAAAATGAGCGTTCATGCTATGAAAGCGACAATTGCTTGTTTGAAGGAAAAGTGCAAGTGATTTGCCTAATTTAGGATATTTCTTATGAGGTTAGTCAAACTATTCTGAATTCACGCATTCGTCTGAGTTCTTGTTGGCATTTGAAGTTGATTTCAATCTATATTTCGAACTCGAAACAGCCTCGGGGGCGATCCTGTGACCAGAAGAATGTGCACAAGGTTTGAGTTGGTATGTAGGATGACTAATCCTGAACTTTTGTGATACCAACTGTTTTGTAGCAGTAGAACTATGCCCCATACATTTTGTACAATGATTCATTGGCTCTGTTACTCCCTTGTATGATATAATAGTTCATCAATAACTTATGCCGATATGTCATTTATCAGCTACGAGATTTGGGGTATTGCTTTCGACCCCTTTTTGGCATTTTTGTATAGATAACATTGCTGCTGCTGCCATAATGGGGAAGTCAAATGCACAAGCATGATATGCATGCCTTGGAACCCTCATACTCCCTTTCAAAGTTCTACATCTGTTAGGTTTCTTCTGTTTTGCCAGTTATCACAGACCTGCTTGGATTCGTACTGGGACGTTAGAAACCGAGATCAAAACTCGCCAGGTACGTGTCGATATATAATGATTGAATCTGTTTGAATTACTTTTTGAGGGGTTTAGACTCTGCAGGTGTATATCTATCAGGTATGTATGTAATGACCAGACATTGTCAAGAATTTGGCCAAAAGTATAAGTTACATTAAAATCTTTATATATTTTAAGTGCCTTTTGATTTAAACCCCTTTTTAAAAAAATATTTTCAATTAATCCAATGATTTTGAACTACTTATTTATTAATGTTTCTTTAAAAAAATGACTTGATAATCTAAAATTATTTTTAAAATTTCATTAATATCTTTAAACTTAAAAAAAAAAAAAAAAAAAAACCTATTTAAGAATATTAATGATTTTTTTTTAAATTAATTGTTATAATCCTTCATTATATGAATTTAAATGGCATTAAGATATCTTGCCTCTCCTAAATAAAATAATGTATCTTAGACTCTACCTAACTTGGCATTATTTTGTCAATAACTGATGAGTACCTGATTCTTATGACATTTGTGACATGACATTAATTTTAGAGATGTATATTTTATATTTGGTAACTTAGGAGAGAGAACAAGAAATATTTTTCAGATAAATGAGGTTTGAAATAGAATTATATTTTTGCCCCTTCATCCAATTCGGCTTGTTTAATATTTTAAATATGTATTAAAAATAAATTAATTAATTTTGAGACTTTAATTATAATAATAAAATTAAAATTTAGGTGGTAGATTGTTAGTTAAAAATTATGTTGCAGTATTAAAATTAAAATTTAAAATATTATATATATGTATATGTATTTATTTATTTGCTTATGATTTATGATTTTTTTGTTTTGTAATTTTTTTATTAAAGATTATGTTAAAAAATAAAACCTTAAAATAATTTTTTTAAAAAAAATATAAACCTGTAAATATTACATCCGTAAATATCTCAACTGTAAAATAAATGTAAAATTTTAAAGAATAAAAAATAAAATACATATTTAAAATTAGATGGAAAATCTGATTAATAAAATAATGGAACAAATTCAGAGAAATCTGGAATCTTCTCAGGACGTCGAGAATCTTCAAGAGCCAATTGCACTGAAGACGAGAGTCATCACTCCTCAACAGCCAATGGAGTTGACGACGATGGCGTCGACACTAATAAACCCGCCGTTCTTCCTCTTCCCCCATTGTTTTCCCAATCCTTTTCTCGTCTCTTCGAATTCTCTAACATAAAATCCTCTTTTTCTCTGCGAATCTCTCGTTGGTTTTCGGCGGGCGTTTGTATCTTCTTCGCCGCACCACAATGTTCTCCACCGCCAGTCTCGCCGCCGTCGACAAGCCTTTCTTCTGCCACCAGTGTGATCGCGCCGTTACTGTTATTCTATCCCCCTCTTCGGATCCTCTGTGTCCGTTTTGTAATGAGGGGTTTCTTGAAGAGTATGAGAATTCCAATTCCAACTCGAATGTCAATCTTGATCGCGGAACACTTCTCCTTCCCGATCCTTTCCGTGGTTTTAATCCTCTTGTTGTTTCCTCTTCGACGGTTGTTGATCTTCAAAACCCTGGTTTATTTTCGAGAACTTTAAGTTTGGCTTCCCAATCCAATTCGTCAGTTCAGCCTGAGCAGTATGACCCCTTTGTTTTTCTTCAGAATCATCTACGGGGCATCTTCGATAGTGGTGCGGATGTTGTGTTTGAAATTCCGCGCCATGCTTCCCACTCTGGCTTTTCGATGCCTCAAAATGTTGGCGATTACTTCATTGGACCAGGCCTTGAGCAGCTCATTCAGTTACTGGCTGACAATGATCCGAACCGATATGGAACTCCGCCGGCTTCTAAATCGGTGATTGAGAAGCTTCCGAATGTGACTGTTACAGAGGACCTTCTGAATTCGGAAATGAACCAGTGTGCCGTCTGCATTGATGGGTTTGAAAAAGATACTGAGGTTAAGCAGATGCCCTGCAAGCATGTATTTCACGATTATTGTATATTGCCTTGGCTTGAATTGCATAATTCATGCCCTGTTTGCCGGTTCGAGTTGCCTACAGATGATTCTGATTACGAGAATCGGACTCGTGGAAGCCAGGTGCAGGCGAATGAATCTTCCGGAGAAGAATCAGGGTCAGGAAACAGAGGAAGCAATAGGGGTCGTGTTGAGAGGAGGTTTAGAGTTCCGCTATGGTGGCCGTTTGGGGGGCGGAACGATGGGAATGACTCCGGCGATGGGAATGTCAGCGAATGAGCGGGTGGGGTGCAGGACTAATTCTGAATATGTTCTGGTAACTTTCTTTCTCGCCTATATTGTTACTTATAGCTTTAGCTTTTGCATAGTGCTTGCTGTGCTTTCCCCCCC